AAGAAAGAAAGAAAGAAAGAAAGAAAGAAAGAAAGAAAGAAAGAAAGAAAGAAAGAAAGAAAGAAAGAAAGAAAAATAAATCAGAACAAAGTGATACAGAACCACTGAAGTATTTATTTTACAGGATTGGTACACATTTTACATGTTGAAAGAACATGACTTGATTGTTTTTAAAGGAATTAAACCCATCCCAGACTGATAAAACAGAAGAAACTGTATTATTTTCTGATTTTCCTCACAGTAGTGCTGCTACAGGGACACCTCTCACTGGAAGAAACACAGCTTCTCTTGGAAACCGTTATTTCCTGAGTTGAGGTTTTTGTCGATGACAGTGGCCCCATTATTCTGAAACACGCACACAGAAGACTGGTCCAGGATCAAAGTCATGGTCCGGATGGGTTTTTTGCTGCAATCTTCTTTCTTGTACCACAGGTATACGTAGTCTCCTCCAGCCCCCTGATTGAGATCCTGGTGCACTACTTGATAGCCTACCTGTTCAAAACACTTGTACTCACTATCATTGATGGAGACCTGCAGATCCCTGAGGGCCTCAGCTGGATTCGTGGTCGGAAGGTACCAAATAAAGACATATTTCCCTCCTGCTTCTCTGTTGGTGTCTTCATCCAGTCGGATGTAACCATCCCTGAAATATCGGTCATCTTCACAGGGTTGATTAGTGGTAATAATTTCTTTGATGTAGGTTGGTGTCTCTCTCTTCACCCACAGGAAGATGTAGTTTCCACCAGCCTTTCGGTTCAGATCACAGGTCAGTGGCTCCCAGCCAGAGGAGATGTACCAGGTTGCTTCACAGGGATCAGTAGTGACTGCAAGGTCCACAATGGGAACTTTACTCTCTGAGGAATCTGTGTCGTACCACAGGAAGATAAAGTCGCCATCTGCTCCTTTGTTGAGGTCTTTGTCGACCTTGTGGTACCCTGCTCTAGCCAAACCCTCTCTGGTGTTCTCATTAAATGAAAACTGAATCCTGGTGATTGGTGAACAGTCACCTCTTCTGTACCAGAGGTAGATGTAGTTTCCTCCGGCTCCTTTGTTCAGGTCAACAGGAATCTGAGTCAGGTTTTGCATGCTGAACTGAATCTCCTCACATCTGTCCAGAGACACCTGGATCTCAGTGATGTACTTGGACATGTCAGCTTCTATAAAACAAAAACAAAGAATTTGTCACAATTACAACAATACTTTAAAAAGTAATACATGAAAATTAAATGAGAAATATTTTTTTAATGATGAATAGATGGGCATTCATAGTTGTATTAAAGTATAGGGATGAGCGAGTACACCACTATCTGTATCTGTT